TGCCAAGTAAATATTATACATTACTCCTCTCTTCCATCGATGTATTTGAATCGGTTTACCTACATACTTTTTACACTCAATGCCGAAGTTTATAGCTCGATAATGGGACCGAGCGACCTCAACTGATGTCGAGCTCTTACTCTCCCAAGTTGGGAAGCTCAGCTTACCAACTCCGAGGTTCGACGCTTCCAGCGTCGTGCTCTCTACGTCCAACGATTCGTCGGCATCTGACGCTACCAAATACGTACGGCGAGTCTTTCAATTTGTAAACAGAACACTTCGAAATTCTCCGACCTGGTATATTCCAAATTTCGTAGTGTTAGCATTCAATGTTATCGAGGTCTCTTGATACAGAAAAAATTGGTAAGATCCTACACCCAATTTTCTTTCAGTGTGATTTTTTGCCGCGCTCGATGCCCAAGAAGGAAAACGACGCTAATAGTCCGTCATTACGTCCTCCTCTCTTTTTCTCTACCGGCGGCCTCGACGAGTGAGTAAGTAGTGCACACCACCACGCGCGAGTGTGCAAGCAGTGTCCCGCAGCTTCCGGTGCGGAATCCATTTCATTTCCTCGGCGCGTTTGTACATAATATATGTAGGTATATATTTATATAGGTGTGTGCGACTCTGGTGCTCCGGGGAAGGAAACCACGCTGCCAGACGCGCACGCAGGGCGGAGGAGGAGACGAGCTTAAAAGGCGCGGGGGAGGAGGGAGCCGAGACGAGGGAGGGTCGAGGCCCTCTTTATTTAGCTCGCGCTCTCTTGCTTCTCTACTCTCCTTATACATGGTATATATACACATTTTGATCAGTAGGTGGGTGCTGGTATAGTGCCTACTGCCCTCGAGAATCATGTACTCTGTTGCATGATGGAGTCGGTCGCACAAGGGGTATGCGCACCCACGCACATTTTTTTTTTTTTTTTTCCCTCTACTTTTCCCCCCGATTTTATTTCCTACCAAGGCAGGAGTTTTTCGCGAAATACGCTTATCCTTATTCCGAGCAAGAAAGGGGTACGTGAAGGAGATTGACGCGGGTATTTTGCTACCTATGGATGGTATCTTTTGTGCTCCCGGGAGGATGCAATTTTTCGCGAACCCGCTGTATTGAAGTGGTCGTTTATTCTGGCTCAGGGAGGAAGAGGAAGCAGAGGTTTTTTTTTACCCCCAACAGCTGCTCTTTTTCTTTCTCGAGGGCGCGTGTACAGTGTTCCTTGGAATGATTTACCGTGGAATTAAAAGCTGGAAATGGTACGCTAAATTGGTTCGAGGAAAAAAAAAAAAAAAAAAAAAAAAAAAAATCTTTTCCACGCCACGTTTAATAAATGTAAATCATTTCAAGCGCACGTAGGTGGCCAGCTTCTTTCTTTGCGCAATGCAACGAGTCTGAAGTTTCGAGTGCTCGCTCAGAGTGTTTAACGACTAAAAACTCCCACATTACCATTAAAATAACTGCGAAAGTACCAAAAAACGTGAAAAAAATCATTCTTTTGTTTTTTAACTGGAGAGACGTCATTCTTTTTATTTAGTTTCTCAAAAATTGCTTTGGACGAGCATTCCAGACTCGTGAAATGCACCATGTATATCACGAAAAAAAATGGGGGACGAGTAGAGCTTGAGCGTTCTCTCCTCCCACACGCGCCGAAACAGAGCGTTCCTTGAAAGAGCTTAATTAAATTAACGCGTTCTCGCGGCTTTCCAAAAAACAATGCGCGACTAAATATACATGATATTTATGCAGTGTCGCGAAACTTAACCAGCGCAAAAAGGGGCGCCCCTTGAAAAAATTATCACGTGCCTCTGTACGCGTAAGAGAGTGTAGTACGGCAGCAGCGTTTTGTAAAAAAAAAAAAAAAAAAAAAAAAAAATTTCCTCGACTTTCCTCGACACGGCACGGCTCGCACTCGGCGTTCTCCTTCGTTTGGTTGAAAAGAGCCGCGCGTGCGACTTCTCGAGAGCTTCTTACACGCTCGTCTACTCGAAAGAGACCAGGGGCTTTATCTTGAACAAGTCAAGCGTGCACTTTTAAACGTATTTTGGTCATCTGCACATGTGCAGAAGTCAAATATTGGTTTCTGCACATGCGCAAACAGTGAAAAATGCACCTTCTGACTTTCTCAAAATCAAGCCCCTGCTGCTCTTTCGGCGACATAACGGCACTGCCATTATATTTATACGTATGTACCTATAGTGACAGCAGCTGGCGCGTTAAATGGAAAAACGCATATCAGTGCCCTCCTGCCGGTGAAAAAAAAAAAAATTGCATTGCCGCGCCCGTATAGCAAAGAGAGGCAAAAAAGAAAGTGGAGGAGAGGAAAGTTTCTCAAAGCGTGTCTCCGCGCCGATCGATCGGTTTACGTCTGCCGCACTTACACTAAGACGGACTGGACGAAGAGAGAGAAAGAGCCAAGAGGAGCATCGGGACACCTACTCTGTTTACTACAGTAAGATCCATCGCCCATGTAAATTAGTCTCTTGGAACTTGATTTTATACTTATACGTGTGTATGAGCGTGGTTAATTGGGGAGAAATGTATTAATATATGATCGGTAGTGGTTACAAGAAAGATACATGGAGTAGTCCTTTAAAAGTAATTTACTTTTCGTTTAATTTATCCTCGTCCTTTTTTCTCTCTCAAAAAAATTCTCATGTGAATTATCGTTTGAATTTTTTTTCCAACATCAATCATTTTCAACTACTACCGATTTTTATACTTTTATATGCTAGGGAACTTGGATATAAAAAGACTATCACTTTGAATTTCATCTTATTGATATTTTATCATAATAACATTTTAAAGTCACGTTCGCGCGGAAGAGTCAAAGTGGAGCGTACTTAGCAAGCACGTAATAATACCGAGATCTTTTTCTGAAACCGTTGCATGCTCAAGAAGTTATGTCTCTACTTATCTCGATTTTTTTACCCTATACTGTTGTAAGAATTTGCACTTCTTTCTAATAAGTACTACCAACGTTGTTACCACTGCTATTGATCGCGAATGGAATCAGAAAGTATAGACAAGGTAACTATGTGGATAACTTTATTGGTAATTGAAACAAAAACTTTTTTGTAAAAAATACCTCGAAAAATACCGCAACCTATAGTTTACTTAGCATCCTTTTACAGTTTGTTGTATATTATATTTAAAGTAACATGATAATAGTGTTGGAGTAAGTTACAAAAAAATTGTTAATACCGATTGTCTGAAACTTTAATCTATAATCATCAAAATATGAAATTTTTCCTCGAATTTTTCGTTAAAGGACTCATACAGTTGTGTTTATCAAGGACGAGCGGTAAAATATAATTATTCAGCGAGTAAAAACGCGTTTTATTTACAGACCAAAATCATCTGCTGACTTGCTTTGTGTACAATATTGTTAACTTGTTTGTGTTTACATTTCCGAGTACATTTCTGTAATTGCTTTGTTTCGTGCATGGGTTTTTGCCTAACCCACGGTTTTTGTCAGCTCTGCCGCACTGGTGAACAACAAACGTATTATCACTCTTGTACCCGACAGCTGCATGGGCAACCATAATACCATTTGCGTCAATAAAAGCGCCAAAAATCGTCCAATTAGAAGAGTCGAAGGACGAAATAACATCCGGGCACGCGCGTCACATGGTAGACGGCAGTCTATACCGAAGAACCGCACGGCAACGACGAAGCAACCCTTCCATACTTTTACCTAACCATGTTTTTTTTCTTTTTCTCTATGGTTCCCGATTCTCCCGTTCGTTCGTGTATCTGCGCGTTGCGGTATACCCGCGTACTTGGATGAATTTTATCCATTCGGATCCTCAGGTACAGATCCTGTGCTGCTTGTGCGAGAGGCAATTAAACCCAAGAGAATAGCCTAAGCCAAAAAACTGGAAGATGTGCACTAGCAGAAAAAGTCTACGTAAGCAATTGATGTAAAAAGGTACAAAATTCAGGAAGAAAAAATTTGCGTAAACAGACTACACCTAGCGCACGCACGCGCGCGCGTTCATATCCTATACCTCTGTTTTTCTCTCTCCCTCTGATGTTCTTTCGAAAAACGAACTAAAAAGCCTACGTATACAGACACAAGCGGGAGAGGGAGAGGAGAGATGCTTTGGTCCTTTTTGCTCCTTTGTGCCCCGAGACGCCGAGGAAAGAGAAAGAGAATCGCAGCATCTCTGCGCGCGTCTTCGGTTCTCTCTCTTTGTATGTATGTGTAGGTACTTGGCGAGCGAGAGCGAGAGAGAAAAGCGAAAAATACGTTACGTGCTCCTTCAAGGGCTTCCTTCGGTTCTTTCTCTCCTGTGCGCGCGGCCTATATATGGCTTCTAGGTACACGTAAAACTCGCAGCGTTGTAAGGCGCGCTTTCTTCCTTTTGCCATATTACTTTAACCCCTGTATAGGATGTACACCCATCCCGTCCCGTCTCACCTGAACGTCGTACACGACGGCAAGAAGCGGCCACCCTTCGTCCAACTACTATATACTTTCCAGCACGGATTTTTACTGCTCGATAATAGTACGAGTTTCGGGACGAGCGAAAACATTTTTTAAACGATTTTTTTGTACTTACTGCACGGCGGACGAGCGAGAGCAACAGAGTGCCTATGTGCAGATGTATATAATATGTACAAGACATCCCCCTCGCACGTTACAAACTGCTGCCGGCGCAGCGGCGACTCTATTATATACTTTGCATGCAAGGTTCTTTTGTTTTGTTCGTGTCGCAGTTGCAATTGTAAACACCACTGAGATACGAGAGCGGTGCGTGATGTGGGGTGCAACAATTGCAAAAGCGGAAACGAATGGCCGGATGATGTACCTCCAAGTGTATACATACGCTTGTACACCAGCGCAAGAATAACGTAGAACGAAGGAACAACAACCGGCGTCGTGTACTCGCCAAAGAGGCGTGTAGGTGTACGTTGAATTAACTGATTCGAGCGCGAATAAATACTCGTGCATTATAGGGGGGGTACACGGGATGTGTATATTGTATACTCAGCTATCTACTTACCAGCAGTATAAATCAGACTCGATTTCTCTTGTTGGATGTTGTTAAGGTAAAATAATTGATGTATGTTGTTGTCCTCGTGCACTTGTTAGATTTTTGAGAAAATTGTTCACCCCAACACGAGTGAGAAGGTGATCGGCAAACGCACACTTCACGTATAGTAAAGAAACACAGCGCGACTGACCGACGGCCGGCGGACGATTTTGAATCTCGCCAGCGCACGCAACGGAACAACACAGAATGAACAGACTGCGAATCCTGCAAGAGGAGAGAGAGAACGGCTTACAGGTTTAGCGCGCTCAACGACCCTACGCCGGCCGACGCCGCCGTTGCTCAAGAAAAGGGGAGGTGAAGTGGGGGAGAGAAAGGAATAACATTGGTACCTGCTGCGCCTCCCTTGACAACTGCTGCCATCTGCGCGATAATACTGAAATTTAAAAATTTTGTTTTCTCTCTAACCTTTCTTTTATTTTTTTTTAACAATACATGTGATATTTTTGTTTTGATTTATTTAGTGATTTGTTGAGTTTTTCCGATTCACAATTTTTTTTCTTCTATATCGAAATCCAAAACACTTAATACGTATGTTGTGTTTTTTATTCATTCCGTGGTGGTATACACTATACCGTTCATTACTGTGTCATCACGTGAAATCATATTCCCTTTGTTTCAAGATTTAATTTTCTACCTACTTTGCGTAGCGAGTTTGTTAGCATCTCTGGGGAATTTTGAAAGATCTAGGGTTTTTTTCCGCAGGTATGTGGTGGCATCTGTAGGGGATTCACAAAAGCTCCGGGGATTTTTTTAACTTTCTACATTGTCGAGCGTCGTCTGCATTACTTGCAAAGCTCGAGGATTTAGTCGAAACCGACCGAAGGGCAGTAGGTAATTAATTTAGGGTATTATCACGGGAAACCACTTGTGCGTAACATCGTTTTCAAGCAAACACCTCTGAAATAACTTTCGCGATTGTTGATTTGAAACAAACTTAAAAAAAAAAATATGTTTTTTCAGCTTTTGAGGTCCTATTAAGCTCTGCATTGTTGTCTTACTATTCATATGTATATAGGCTCGTTCATGTAAACTTGAATGAATTCATAGTTATACTCTTGTTCAACTTTCAGTAAATATAATGACGAGTTTATAGATTATACTTGCGTAAAAGTTGACTAGATATATAGCTTAAGAAATCATTTAATTTGCTGTGCTCGTAAAAATCACATGGAACAAAACTACAAAAAACATCTTTAAATTAACGCACCGTTGCGTAAATTTCAACGTCGAACTACCAACTCCTGGCTTTAAATATACTTGGTCACCCAAGACTCAATTGTCCTTCTCACGATTAAAAAAAAAACAAACAAACAATGCTATTGGCAAAAAGGATGGATTGAAACTTATGTATTCCTTTCCACTTTTCAAAGAAGAAGTAATCCAATCCAGCATCAGCCCTAATATCTCCTATATCGCACATCACGCGTGTATATATCGAAAAATATAAAAAATAACGAATTATTTGGCTCCGCGTGGAAAAAAATGTCCTTTGTAAACTGTGACCCTCCCCTGGCTGCACGATGCACACGCGCCGCCCGCAAGTGCATATAATATACCTACACATAATCATCGTGCATGCAAACGAGAGGGGGCGACCTCGCCACACCGGTGTCCCCGACCTCAACCAAGTCCCAGCTATAATCGCAGAGGCAAGGCAACTCTCGTGTGTATGTTGTGCGAGTCCATGGGCGAGAAGGAGGAGTGCGCGCCACGACGACGTCGACGGCCGCACGCGCGCTTTTGCATCCATCTCGCTCTTTCCCTCTGCACCCGAAAAGGAGAGTCCCCTTTTCACGCACCCCCCTCTCTCTCTCTCTCTCGTAGTGGCTCTCTCTTTTTCTCCGGTGAAATTATTATTGCTGCTTCTGCTCTTGCGTTCATAACACGCTATCTACCCAAGTGTACAGCACAGAGCGGTAGGTACCTAGTAGATGCACGGGGGAGATTTCGGCGAGCATTGTATACGCCGAGCGTACGGTATACGTACCAACTCCACCGTTGGTGCCGTTTCTTCGGGCGTTCGTGCAATGTGTCGTAAAACACTGCACAACTCGTGCACAAGCTGAGTCGTCCTGTCGGCGCGTCAGTCCTGCACACACATTTCCTGGACAGAGTGTCTTGATTGTCAGCTATATACGACAGCGTAACGGTGTGCATACATGATACATTATACATCGGGTGGAGTGCGCGCGTGAGTCCGGTGTCAGGTGAAAGAAAACAACAACAACAACAACAACACAAACTTAACGGAGGAGAGTGTAACATCTCTTGCGTGGAGGAGGTCGTCAGGATACGTCGGCGAGGGAGCGTGATACAACTGCGGCCGAAGCAGCAAAGATCGGAGCCACGAGCTGAGACTGTCGCTGCTGTGGCGAGGATGGGCCAGGGCACCGAGTCCTCGGAGACCTGTGCCGACAGGCCCACCGAGGTCAGTGTCATCCGGTTCGTCTCCAAGAACCACACCATCGAGGAGATTGCCCCGAAAAAGGTCAGCAAGGACACACTACGTTGTTTTTGTTACTTAGGTACACACGCAGCATCCGCCGTCCCCGACCTTTCCTAAAATTCGCTCCGTCTCTTTCTCTGCTCCTTTTTTTCTTTTTCTTACGTATGGGCGATACGCTCGTGCGAGCAGTGCAATGTACAGGTATACGTGTACATATGCATGTACAATGCCCCGCGTCCTGCCACACGGTGAGTTCAATGACCTCTAATCCAAAACAGACTGCACCTATATGCGTGCACGTATACCTTTACCCGCACACCTATGGTTGTCATATTATAATGGAGCTTTACGAGGACGCATAGATCTATAGATCGTCCAAAGTACATGTGGTGGGGTAATTCGGAACGCGATGCTGGAACCTCTCGCCGGGTGGGTTTTCGGTGCACGAGAACGCCGCGATCCCTAGCTGCGAGGCTTCCGGCGCTTGAACTTGAAGCTGTACTCGCGCGCGCGCGTGCGAGGTCTTTAACCCCTTGGTGTATAACGTATATACCGAGAGCAGCTGCCCGTGTCGCCTCTTCCTCCCCTTCGGTCCCTGCTTATGCGCTCTTCCCCCTGCACTGTGTGTTATATGCACAGGTAATAATATATACTTACGTGCTTTTGCCGTGTTTTTATTTTTTCATTGGATCTTTGTGCGCGGGGAACAATATTTAGGAGCAATTGATGCTACTTTTTCGTAACATTGATCCTCCCTTTTCAGGAAATTTACATATGCAATCAGCGAGGATGCGGCAAAATATTCACCAACCAGGAGGAATACAAGAACCACGAGGTCATGGAGAGCCTGAAAGTCAAATTCGTGTGAGTAAATGAAAATATGTCGATGAAAACAAAAAAATAAATAAATAACGAAAAGTGTATCCGAAACAGTTGCAGCGAGCCGGGCTGTGGAAAGGAATTGACGGATCCGGGCCGTATGTGGTGGCACTACCAAGAATGGCACAACAACGACACGAGTGTCTTCGTTTGTCCGTACACGAATTGCGGCTCTGTGCACGCGACCAACGAAAATCTCCAGGAGCACATCGAGTCCTCGCACCGGCAACTCCCGCGGATACCGACAGAGCCGGAAATCATATGTTTCGAGGGTACGGACACCGTCATGGAGGACGACATCTGCGACAGGCTCAAGGAAGAGGAGGAAGACGAGGAGGATCCACTGGGTGCCATCGACTGCGGCAAGATGCCAGTGATGACCAACGAATACGTTATCAACGAAGACGGCAGGATCGCGAGTACGAAGCAGGTCGCTCAGCCGAACGAGGATTGCAGTCCCAAGGAACAGTCGAAACTCAGGGCAGCGCTGAGCGGCGGCGATTATTCGAAAAACGAGACTGTGACCAGCAGAGCTGGCACCACGTCCACTCCCAGCTCTGCTACAACGACTACGACTACTACTACTACTACTTCGAGGTTTCCTAAAAACAAAGACTTGCTAATCACGAAGGAGAACTTTCTGGCCAAGTACGAGGCTAGATCGCCGATAAGCAATAACGAAAGTATTCTGATAGACAGTTCCCAAGACGGTGGTACGATTTTTATAAGTAGCGACGTCTCGCTGACCAAAACCACGGGTCAGGAGCACAGGATAGACCTGGGAAATTTGGAGAAGGTTTTCAGGAATGGCTTTGAGAGGGATTCTCCGAAAACGGAGGATAACCAGTCCAAGATCAATTGCTCCGACGACGAGGAGTACACACCGAAGAAGCAGAGAATATCGAGGTCCAAGCAGGAACCTAAAAGGTGCGAGATTAACGGCTGTGGTAAAACGTACAAGAACAGAACGAGCTTCCGGCATCACCAAGACAGTCATCTTTTAATTAACAACGCTAATGCCACTAAAACTCAAAAACACAAGATCGAGAAAGCGACGACCATTAGCTTTTTCATGTAAGTTCTTTGAATCGACGAAAAAAAAAAAAAAAAAAAAAAAAAAAAAAAAAAAAAAAAAAACGGTTTGTATCTGATTTTTCAGATGTAAACGTTGTGGCACCCAATTGAGCAATGCCGCTGCTTTGTGCAAGCATTACCAAGAAACCCACACCAACAACAAACCACAGCCTACTTCGACGGCAAAAAGTACTGAAGTTCACCGGTAAGATAACGTCAGAGAGATAAATTTCTTTCATTTCCAATTGTTATCTTAATGACGATCTTCTTTTTTGTCATCATCATTAGGTGCAAAGTGTCGGGATGCGAGGCGGAGTTCGCTACCTCGTCATTGCTGTCCAAACACTTGAACGAGCTACACGCGAAGAATTCCGCGAATAACGCCAACTCAAATATTAAGACTGGAAATGGGAGTGGAGTAATGGGCGAGCAAATGTTCCGCGAAAACGACGCCACTGCCCAGCGAGCAAACTTAAAGACTGAATTGAAAGCCAAGCACTCGCTTGTTGGCTTGAACGAATTCGCCGATGGTAAGGACAAGAATAGCCAATCGCAGAACCCTGTCGACAAGGACGACTCCGGGGACTGATTTTTGTTCTTGTAAAGACTTTTCATGGTACTTTTTTTATCGTCAAAGTATTTTTGCATGATTTCTGCCCCAAACGGAATGGGGGGGCTTGCGTTGGTAATTTTTTAACAAAGTCTCGGAAATGAAAAATTTTTTACACTGATTTTATTTTTATATTTTAGCGGTTACATTCTGAAATTTTTAGGCTTATTATTGTTGTTGATTATTGCGTTTTTGAAAACTTATTTATTGCAACGGGTGCAAAGTTTTGTTGAACTGGCATTCTGGTGGTGCTTGAAAAAAAGTCCAATCGAGTTTCAAAGTATTTTCGTTTCCCAATCGGGACGTGATGCCGGGTGTTGATTCAATTTTAATTGAACATTGACTGATAAGGAAATGCCATTTTTTCGTAAACTGCTTAAAATTCACTTGAACGCGTAATATTTCAATCACTAAGAAAACAGTGTTTGTATATTTTATTATTATGCAATGAAATTGTAATACTCCACAATTGATCGGATCACAATGTGGCAACAAATCGAAAACGATGCGACGACGATTTTTTTTTTTACATTTAAAAAAAAATTAACTGCCACTCTCGCGCGTGCATTGTGTCTTGCATCGCGTAAAAAACAAGTATCACTAATTTATTTTGTTAATCATCGTTTTATAGAGAAAGTGTAATCTAGTAGGATCTAGTAGGATTTTTAAAATTTGCTATCGAAAATTGTAAAAGTAAATTAGACACATTATACAGTATAAAAGTATTATTAAATAAATAAGTTTTGTCTACTCCAAAGTGTCGTTAATTCATGATGATCCGTATGACATAAATATCGTCACCCAGTCTGGTTAACAAAAAAAGTCATTTCTATATTTACAAGGAAGCGATTTAAAAAAAAAAATAATAACATTGAAATTCTCCTAAAAAAGCGCCAATACTACGAGCGCGCTATATCGACATATCTTCTCCATCACGTGTCAACGACAGTATAAATAATCATTCAAAATCAGAGCAAAACCGCACCAAAGATTCTCGATTACCATTAAATAATTACGTACGCATGTACCACGACAGTACCATCGCCGCTAAGCTACTTTTGTTCCCCGAAGTAATTCTCTCTCTCACTCTTGGCGATATCCGCGAAACGACGAGTTTTTACTCTGGCAACTTCATCTCTCCACATGCAACTCTCGTTCCAGCGTTCCCAAACATTGTACGTAATAATAATAATATGTTGCCGCTCGCGAACGAATCTCCTCTCGATTATAAATTATAAATTATAAATAAATACACCCCAAATAATAATATTCTGCACAGAGTACCGATAATGTGCCAGTGGTCAATTTTTGCGGTAAGTAATGTTCTTATGCGAAACGAAGCCAAGGAGAGAAGACAAAAAAAAAAAAAAAAAAAACTACTCCAGCATAAGTTTCGAAGCTCAAGGGTAGGTGGATGGAAAAAGCACCGAAAATAGGAGGAGGCGGGGGAGGCCGACCTTGTGCCGGGAGAGACACACACTCGGCGCTTACGCATGGAGGTGCATGTAAAACAGAGGGAGCACAAGAAGCTGCTTCTTTTATAAGTTCACCGGCGACTCCGCTATACACACATGTATACATTGTAGGTATGTATACACCAAGCCACGGGGATTGCCAAATAAGGCGTTTCCCGAGGGGTTTCCGGTTTTTCCGACGCGAGCGCCCCACCGCGGCTTCGATTCCCGATCGAGAGGAGCCTCCCCCCGTTGTCGTATAGCGCGCCCGCTGGCCGAGTACACAGCAAGGCGTCGCGCCTTTCGGACCAGCTTTTCGCAAGCGCGCCCTCTTGTTTTTATCCATCTATCCACCTGCACGTGTAGTGAATTTGACGAGGCCTTTTTTTTTTTTTTTTTTTTTTTTTCGTGCCGGTGTATTTTACTTATCGCCCCCGGTGCGAAAAGACTAACGAATTTTTGTACAAATCGCTAATGCTGCTTTCGACGATCGAGGGGCATTACTAGTGCATCATACACCTCACGGCGCACGCGGTGCGTATATAGAAGCTCGACTTTGGCTCATTAATTCACTTTACTCGAATGAGGATGCCGCCAATGTGTACTCGCGCTCGTAATTGCAAACGCTTAAACTCTCCTGTACTCATGTATATTATGTATACATGTACCCGAGTGTTTGTTCGTAATTGCCGTAATAGCCTACCTTGGTATAAATTTTGGTGCCTCCTGTTCATCCCCCGATTTATAATTAGAGCGCGCGTGTAAGTAAAAGCACCGGAGGAAAGGGTACGTTGCTTTTGAAGAGATGAACCGGCCTTTTAAACCAAAAGCTCATCCGCGCTTGCACTTTTCGAGGTGAAGAGGGAGTCCGTGTGTGTATATATTATGTCATACTCCTTGTCAGTCGCGTATCGCGCTGATACTTAAACTCGGATTCCCCGAAAGTTGAAATGAAAGTTGGACCCCTATAGGCGGGGCTGATTCACTATATTGTCCTTGTATGTACAAATGTATATGGATTATTATTTCAGTGCAAGGTATGATCCGACAAACACTTCTGTCTGCAATGCAAGAGTTTTGCTCGTAATGATTCACCCATTATAATACAGGCTTTCGACTTTTACAATGGCACATCCCAACTGCAGTGCGCGCGTCTAAACACTCGAGTTCTGTAACTCATTGTTAAAACACCGCTCGCCGAGTACAACCAAGCGCGTGTATATATATATATATTTATAATATACATTTTGTGTATATACGTAAAGTAAAAGCAAAAAGCGCGCGGTACCAATATACTATTGTTATACGCGTGTGTGTATATATAAGATATATGTATATATATATAAATATATATATATATAATACCAACGAGAGCTGCACCGCTGAGTTTTATTTCTTTTTCGGTGACTCTACTCCATACGCGCGTAATTTGCTGCTTCGCTCAGACAGTCGCTCCTCACCGCTGACATAGCCAACACGAGAGGTATGTGTGCTAGTGTATTATGTGTACCTACCTACATTGTATAGATTTCGTGATTACAAATAATCAAAGATAAGGAAAGTGTGCGATTCCCGTTACACCTATTTATAAATATACGGTGCAACCCATGATCGGTATGGGTCCCTGCAAGAAGACGTCGGGAACGACACTCTCGTGAGAAATATATATACATATATGTATCTACAAGTATGCGAGAGAGCGCGTGTTACGACCACCTCTATTTTTAAAGAGTAGCGCGCCGTGTATCCGTCGCGCGCTTCGTCTCCGCCTCCTCCATCCGTACGGCACTTCTCCGCGCGCTTCTTCTTCTCCTGCGGTTTTCTCTTTTGGCCCTCGATCCCCCTAATGCGCCGCACTAACTGTGCCTTTTCTCGCGATTATTTTTGTGCCGTGTCGCGCTCGCGTGTGCTCCTGTATAACGCCGTGGGTGGTGTATATCATCATCGATAATCATTCGATCGATATCCGGCAGTTGTGTGGTGTCCAGTGAATTCGTCCATCAGAGCGGCGCGTTGGTTCATCGAAACGCCCCAAGCTTGCACTGGTGAGCGTTGAACTTGAGACTCGTTCGTCTTTTTTTTCCCCTGTGCTTGCATACATGTGCACCTGTTGTGTTGTTATTTGCTCGAGCGCCGCCACGACAGGTTTAATACACCTGTATCTGATGCGCGCATGGAAATCGGCGCCGCGCAACCCCTAAGTAATCGAAAAAAAAAAAAAAAAGAAAAAAAGAAAGCCCGAGAAGTTTAATTTAACGATCACGGCAGTTAGTTGGTATATAAATTAATGTACTTGGAAGCTCCGTGTACAATGTAATATGTACGCATAGGCGCGGATGAGGCGTATAAAATACATTATATTCTCCGGGGATTCCTCTTCGGCTCTATGGTCTTTCGTTCCTCGTGCCCGATGTGCTGGCCTCACGCAGCTCTCGGCGCAAAGAATCATCGTGTATTTTTAAACCCGCGCTCGCGCATATACGCGTTCACGTATATATATATATGTGTGTACAGACTAAACTCCGAGGCGTGCGCCGCACACGTAAGGAGCGTCATAATTCCGAGCGACGACACACCGGCGCGTATATTATACGATACGTGAGTAATCCGGCTTGCCGATTTTTTTTTACGTTTCGTTTGATTTTCCGTGGAGAAAAAGAGAAACGTTGATATAGGTGCGCCCCGAAAAGGGTTTTACCGATTTATCTGGTACGTGGTTACAAAGGAAAAGTGCAACGCGCCACCGCGACTACGTGTGTTATTATTTTCGAAAAGAGCCTGACTCAAGCGTGTACATATATATGTATACATATTTACCTATAATGTACCGGCAACGGAATCGTGAAAGAGAGAGAGGGAGAGAGCTGACACTTGCAGCAGCGCAACGCGTAACGACCCAAGTATGCCGCGTGTCATACGAGCCGGGCATTTATAAAATGTGCCCCGAAGCAACGGCATTGCTTTGTAAAGTGCATGTACAGAGAGCGAGACAGAGCACGGCGCGCATATTAAACTGACATCAGCCCTCGGATATGCGGTTGCCGCAAGTGTACCGAATGTAGGTACATTTTATTGTACACCCCTCATGGGGTATCTGAAAACGCGTGAATATGGGAAGAAAAACAAAGAGATCGGTCGTCCCTCTCGAGGCGGAAACCGCGGGAGGACGCGCTTATCGCGGCGATTCTTATCTCTCCGCTGCGATGATAAAACAATGGTTTTTTTTTCACTCTCTTTCTCTCTCAAAATTGCACGCGCCAACAACTACGTCGAGGTGCCTTTTTTTGGTTCGCCCCCCCCCCCCCTCAAATGAGTAATTATATATTATCTGCTAAACGCAACGGAGGGCAATAAGTGTGTATAGGTATAATGTGTACATATCTCACGGTGTATGATATGGGGTACATGGAAAGAAGAAGAAGGAGGCGGCGGCGTCAAGGTTTTCGGAGCTAAAAATATTTTTGGTGCAGGGTAAAATCATCGTGGTTCGTTTTGCAATGTTTTGAGGGGGAAATTGGTTGCCGGTGCGCGCGCTCCGCCCCTCCCCCACCTATTACCGGCTTCTATTTTCGGGACACATTTGTAAAATAAGATTCGAAAGCATATTTGGAGTGACGCTGCTGCGGCTGCTGATGACTATACGAATACGTTGACGTTGATGCCTTACAAAAAATATCCGTTCGAGCTCCACGATGCACTTTTCACGAGCTTTTCTCTTCAACTCCTTCTCGGGGCCTTGTGGAGTTACGAATGATCTTATTTGTTCGACAACTCGATTTGTCCAAGATAATATGCCAATCGACGCTTTTGATTCATAAAAAGAAATAGTATATAGCCCGAAGCAAAACATAATTATACTTTATTTGGAACAAGACGCCTTCGTACACCTAATAGTTACAAAAATGCCGTCGGCGTGTCGATACGATAGCGCTCGGGGCTGTGTATTATAAGCAAATTACGGAAAATTCTGAAAAAATGATGACTATTTTGTGTGCTTCGATGTATATAACTTTTGGGCCAAACTTTGGGAAAATTGCGTAGTGGTTAATTCGTTGGAAGGAATAATTATAACGGATAATCTAAAGATTTGCTGCTCCGCGGCTAGACATTGTATAATTGTACTTACACTGTTGGTGCCACGGCCTATTTCAGTAACAAAAGGGCGATTGTTGTCGTTTTAGCGCGAGGATCCAGGGGCCTCCAATGGCCAAAAGGGTGCGTGAGGGGGAGAGAGGTAAAAGAGAAGCAAATCTTACTTACAAGATTTTGGGGTGTACAGCCCAATCAGTTAATTCCAATTTTGCCCAAAGCTGATTATAGTATTCGCGGAAATGTCGAATTGGGCCTGAAAACGTGTCAAAGTGGCGCTTATTTCCTTTCTTTTTTTCTCTTATTTTTATCAAATTCGTGACGGGCCATTAATTTCTTATTAATCTCGAAATTTGTGCCACGGGTCTTTGTGTTCATTTACCAGTGTATTATTATTCTATTTGTATACAAGTAACAATATCAGTTATTATCCATAGAAACGAAGTATAAACTCAAACAGTTGACGTAATGGTATGTAAAATATTGCTGATGCTCACGTAGGATGCCAATGAGCGCCAGTTTGTCAATTTGACCGTAAATTAGAAAAATATATAAATTATGACCCAGTCCCGATTTGGGACTAGTTAAAAGCGGTTATCCTCAGAGACACCGACAAATTCGACATTGTCCGATTTGCGAAACTGCTCTTAAAATCGTTAAAATAATATCTGACCCAGATAAACAAAATATCGTGATGAAATGCAAATTCCCACATAAATATAATAGGCACACGAGGCACCGACATTTATACTTGGCCGTATTAATTTGACAATGTCTGGAATTATTCGTGTGGGAGTGAAATTGTTTATTTTTCACTCGGTAATAAGTATGCGAAAGTACAAGTAACTCGGAAACTCTCGGTAAAGGGGCATATTCGTAAATTAACAAGCCGAGCTCATCGTTAAACACTATTACTTATGTTTTCACACATCTCGTGAGGCAATTGGCCGGCTTAGAAATTACAAAGATAGACAAGCAAGTTTTAGTATAGGTATAATATATAGAGAAAGAGAAAGCATTATAAAAAAAAAATACAACAGCAGCATTTAGAGCACGCACGCCCCCTTAAAGTATAGTATTATAGTTCCTCCTCGTGTGGCTCGTGGCTCATCTTTCGTCGTATTACTCGTATTATGTTGTATACGTGCGTCTGTGCGTGATTCAAAAATAAAATTTTGTATATACACACTTTTACCTGTATCTTTGTTTGCTTGTTTTCTAAATAATTAATTTGGAAGTCATACTTATTAAGCTTGAATATATATTTATATGTATTGAGATAAATTTTTTGAAAAAGTGCGTGTTAAGCAGCACGGCACCAATCACTGCAAGCTTTACAATATAAGTACAAGGGGAAAGGGAGAGCAGAAGACTTTAATTGCGATTTAAAAGATAAGGGCAGTTTTAGGATAGGAAAAGTACTTATTATTGTTACGGTACGATATCGAGGGATGAGTTACGGAGCCACGTAACACCGGGAGTATAAGACAAAAAGGAGCATAGAGTAGCAGCAGAAGAGCGCAGCTTGTCAGCAGTGGAGCGGATCATCTGCTGAAGGGCTGACAAGCCGAACTCGCGCACACCAAGTGAATAACAGCAGCGGTATCATTGAATACTTGATACTTAGTCGCGAGTTTTCGTGTTAACAGTACACATGGAAAAATCGAACGCGTAACGGTTTATTAGCAGCCCGCACGTCTGCCGAGGAGAGAGTCAGTGAGTAAGAAAGCTCCCGCGCACCAAGTGTGACTCTTATCCCTTTTGTAGGTTATAACATTAATACACACGCCAGCATCATCACCGCCAAAGAATATCTATACACGCCTCGAGCTGCAGCAGATATCGACTCCGGTTGTTCCTCCTTTTTTCCCCTCTCTTTCTCATTTTTATCTCCTGCTTCTTCTCCTATACCCATACGTTCTCCAGAACAACACGTTGTACTGTATCCTCATACAAATACCTCAATCAGGAGGAACGCGTTCGAAGTTCGGAGTCTTTTTTTCAGTCAAGTTCGCCGCGCGTTTTCTATCTCTTCTGCTCCTTATTATATCCATCCTCCTCCTTGATCCTTTTTATTTCTGCCAGCGTTCGCGGTTTAATTTCTATCATGTCCTCATCATTATCCGCGGGCAACGAGGTCTCCGCAAAAGATTCATCGTCTCGTGGCAATTGACGTGTGTGCTTGCTGTACATACCTTTCTACTTACTTACATTTCACTTTACGTATAAGTACATACTTTACTGTACGTGCGTACGTGTGCATTTGGCTGTAAAAGTACTTATATATATTATAGCGCAGTGCGAGTAATTTCGGCGCTTTGCTGCTTCTTCTTCTTCTTCTTCTTCTTCGTTTTCTCTGTACTCGTATATCCTATCTCGTTCGTATATGGCAGTGTGCAAATATCTTCCTTGGTCTGTGTCTGTATTTAAAAGAAGTATAAGGTATATATACCTACCTACATGCTGCGTGGCTGGCTTGGCTCCGATTTTTTGTCACAAGAAGTAAATTGGAAGATAAAACGAAGAATGAGCATGAACAAGGTGGATTTCTCGTTGTAGGTCCCTAGAGTGCAGAGATGTCGTTTCGCGTGGTACGCAGCAGCAAGTTCCGGCACGTCTACGGCACGGCCCTCAAGCGCGAGCAGTGCTATGACAACATCAGGGTGTCCAAGTCCTCCTGGGACTCGACCTTTTGCGCGGTCAATCCCAAGTTCCTCGCCATCATCGTCGAGTCGGCCGGAGGCGGAGCCTTCATAGTTCTACCCCACAACAAGGTAACACATCATAACAAATCTACCCAGGTACTTGCATACCCTCTCTGTTTGCTCTACTTTGTGTACTTTTTTTTTTTTTACTGTTATGTATCCTTTTTGTTTTTGTATGAAAACTATTCTAATTCGTTAGTCAGGAGATCTTGACACCCATTACCTGTACATAAATTATAAAATTAATTTTATCTCAGCAATTAAATGCCCTAAATCCCAAATTTTTGTAAAATTCTAAATGCAACACTTTAGTATAACAATTAGCGTAATCATTGCTCCTTTTTTCCTTACTTTCTACTCATTTGCACGCTTACTGTTATGTCTTTCCCACAGTACTGTTATTTTCTTTTGTGCAAAGATCTTTAATGCAGATTTTCGCAAGACTTATCTTATTGTCTGATGTAGGAAACAAATATTTTAAAAAGTAATTGAAAACAATACCTGTGTTCCTTTGTGCTGCAGGTTGGCAGAATATCACCAGACCATCCACTTGTTGGGGGCCACAAAGGACCAGTGCTGGATATTGCATGGTGCCCACACAACGACAACGTCATTGCCTCAGGATCCGAGGATTGCGTGGTCAAAGTCTGGCAAATTCCAGATGGTGGAATTTCCAGAACTCTGACAGAATCTGTGGTAGATCTACAATTACATCAGAGAAGAGTTGGTCTAGTGCTGTGGCATCCCACAGCTCTTAATATATTACTCACAGCTGGCTCTGATAATCTTGTGATTATATGGAATGTTGGCACTGGAGAGGCTTTAGTGAGAATAGATTGCCACCCCGACGTTGTTTACTCGGCCTGCTGGAACTGGGATGGCTCGAGATTAGTTACTACTTGCAAAGACAAAAAAATCAGAATCATTGAGCCTAGAACGGGGAATATCTTGGAAGAGGCTATTGCTCATGAAGGTAGCAAAGCTACAAGAGCCATATTTTTAAGGTATGCTTTTTTCATCGATAAACCTTTTCATTTATTCGTAACAAATTTTTCTCAATCTTACTTACGAAATTTTATTGGCACATTTTGCAGGCGCGGTCTAATATTTACAACGGGATTTAGCAAAATGTCTGAAAGACAGTACTCTTTAAGGGCACCGGACATGCTAGCTGAACCAATCGTCATGGTGGAGCTTGATACTAGTAACGGTGTAATGTTTCCCCTATACGATCCCGACACGAATTTGGTTTTCTTGTGTGGTAAGGGAGACTCGGTTATCCGTTACTTCGAGATCACTCCCGAGCCACCGTTTGTTCACTACATCAATACCTTCCAAACGCCGGATCCCCAGAGGGGTATTGGTATGATGCCCAAACGTGGCTGTGACGTTAACAGTTGCGAAATCTCGCGGTTCTATCGATTGAATAATTCCGGCTTCTGTCAAGTCGTATCAATGACTGTCCCGAGAAAGGTATTATATCACTTTCTTTATTTAATCTATAAAGCCACACGAATCACTATTAAAAATAAAATCAACTATTTTAGTCTGAACTGTTCCAAGAAGACTTATATCCCGATACTCCCGGCCATACTGCGGCGATCACGGCGGAAGAATGGGAAGCCGGTAAAGATGCCGAACCTCTCGTTATTTCTTTGAGAGATGGTTATCAACCAATAGCTTCCAAAAATGAACTTAAAGTTAATAAAAAAGCCAATGTTCTTAATAAGTCAGCTAAAGTTGGTGCAAACTCCACATCTGCTCTGGCATCGGCAGATATTTCTGTAAGCAGCTCGTTTGTACCTAGAATTTTGTAAAATTAGTGAAAAAAAATATGTGAATGGAAGTTTAATTTTTCGTTTGATTTACAGGAAGATATTCTTAAAGAATTTTCAGAGGAAATTCGGAAACTGAAAACTATGATAGTTAAACACGAGGGTCGGATTCGAGTTTTAGAATCCGCAGTGGCGCTACAAATGAAAGAACAAGAAAGAAACGAAGTCTCCTCGCCCGTAGAAAAAGAGTCTCTTGCATCTGACGAAGTTTGATTCAGCTAAGGGTTATATTTTTGTATCCTTGCACACGGAAACCATTTATACTGCGTGATAAATGATAAAAACGTGCGTATTATATTTTGATATGATGTGTATATACTAGGTAACTTAGAATAGTAGCGTGCTCCAAAAAAAAAACAAAAACAAAAGAAAGAAACATCGACAGTGTCTTATTAATTATTTATTGTATGTACATCCAGCGTCTGAAAAATTTCTCTGCTTCTACTATTGTGCTCCGTTTGCTCTTTTCATTCATTTACTTATTCACATTTTTATAATCTTTTTATGATTTACCATAATAATATATCGAGAATCATTCATCGTTACCTGTTAATAGGATTTACGTTTATGTTACATTTTAGTGTTATGTTATTTTTTTGAGATTTTTATGTACATGTGCGTGTGCCTTGGAGGAAAACAAACGTTTCGTAAATCACAAGTGCCTTAATTTGTACAGAAAAAATCTACTGTAAAATAACAAATCTAACAAAGCGATTGTTCTACTGATTGCTATTTTGACATTTCAAGGAAAAAAAAAAAAAAAAAAAAAAAAAAAATTTTAAAATTTTTTTGATTTTTTTTTTTTTTTTTTTTTTTTTCGTGCCGGTGTAACTGTATTTTCGAATTTTTTTAAGAAAAATTAAATTGTTACTCAACCGAGTTACAATATGATTGATATATTACTGACAATTCATAATGAAAAATTTAATTTTGTCTCGTTAAACATACAAAAGAAAAAATAAATTGATTTAAAAATATTTCACTGTTTTTTTAATTAAAAAATACTTAGTAACCCGTAATATTTTCTACTCTCCGATAATTAATGATGAATCTTAAAGAATCGTTTGATTTTTGTGCTTTTGTGTCATGGTTTACTCAAGTACAACAAGCCAAACAATTGACGATATGACAAAAGAGTAAACAAAGTTAAGTGGGCTATGTAATAAAGGAAATATATAATCATAAAAATAGCTGTTTTTTGTATAATACAGATAAAATATTAGTTCTCTGTGAACTCTGAACTCTGTAAATTTGAAACCAGATGGCGGCAGGTGATGCGTTGCTTGCCGCGGATGGAAAACCACTTTGAGAACGACGCGGGTGACAGATGCAGTTGTTATGATTCGCGCGACGTAAACATACGGAATCTGGACGCACGTCGACTGATGTGAAGAACTGCAAGATGTGCCTCTGAATAGTTTTTTGAATCAAATTGTTTAACATGTACCACGATAAATTGTTATTTTATCTATGGAATGTTATCCTAGTGGGACGCTCCTTTGCGAATCCAGACACGTTTGAAGTACAAGGTAACATAAAATGCTCTCTTTTCATTATGGATTTTTTGCAACCAATTTTTCAGTTCCATCTGGTTCAGATCGGTTCGACTTAGCTCTTAACTACATGGCTAGAGTAACAAAAAACTGGCAAAAGTTAGTTTTTTTTAGTTTAGCACTGAAGTAATTGTAGTAATTCATGTTGTTATTTTATTTGACAAACAGATACCAACAGTAACAGAAAATTCAATTTACTGGACTTGCTGAAGGATTATGAGGAAAGTGATAGAGAGCAGCAGCGAAGAGGTTTTACAGAAGAACCAGTTGAATCTTGGACAGGTAGATGGTTTCCAGCTAGGCCCGATGAACCTGCATTACCTCCAAAAATATTTCCAAAAGTCAGCAAAATGGAAAGTAATGGATCACATCCTGGTAGTGACCAAGTACCAATGGGAGTCCAGTCATCCACTTGTGATGATGGCAAGGTAAATCATTTTTATCTTGTTACTTCAAATAAGTAAAAAAAAAAAAAAAAAAAAAAAATAAATAAATCGAGTAATTTGTTTTATTTTAGACTAATTTAACTATTGATTGGGACTATTCCCTGTCAAGTACAACATGTTATGGGAAAATGACAAGACCTAACCTCAGGCTACTTCCAAAAATTATGTGCAAAACTATTCCTAAAAATTATGTGGTAATTATCATCTTTCTTAAAATTCGTAGAACTGATTTTTTAAATTTACAGCTAACTCTTACTTTAGGCAATGCACAAATGCATGAGCGATGTCATTGAATACAATGAGGATATACCGCTATAGTATGCATTATTTTATTATGATTTCTCTTTTTTAACGAGTCGTGTCATTATTCTTAATGATTTCTTATTACAGTGGAGTTCATAGACCAATATGGCCCGTTTACGGAGAATATTCGTACATTCCAGCGCAAAGGTGGCTTCACAGCTTGGAGGTGAGTTTTAGCAGATTTGCAAAACATTTGATTTAATTTTATTTGAATTTGATTGAATTTCGCAGCATGGTGCCATTGTTATGTTGTATCATCCATGTGCAGATAAGGTTGAAGTGAAGAAATTAAAATATCTAGTAAAAAGTTGTCTACGCAGGCACATTATCACTCCTAACAACCTACTAGATGAGAAAAGAGTGAGTTTTTAATAAGAATACAATAATTTACCCAATATATTGTGAAATAAATATTCTACCGTTGTCAATTTAGCCCTTGGCATTGCTATCATGGGGTTGCATAATGAGCATGTCTCACGTAAACAAGAAAGCTGTTGTGAAATTTATCAAAGAATCTGCCGCCTCTGCTGGAAATGCTCCGGAGAAAGATATTTACCGAGACGGCGAATTCTCCGATCAGATTAAAGAGAAGGCCGCTAATGTGTCTGATGAAAAAGACTCAATTTTATGTCCAATGTGATTTGCTTAGTGTTATTAATTATTCATGATCAAATTTTATTAAGTTTTAAAAAGAAATGAGATAAATATAATATATATGTATCTATAAGTTAAAACTTTATTTATTCAATTCATGATATCCTATTGTGTACTATTTTTAAATGTACGTTTTTGTAGAGTGGATGATAAAGACTCGACTCGAGATTTAAGTCTCGATCTCTATTATCTTGTCATGTGTGTCGGTTTTAGCAAATTTGCCTTGAAAAATAAACATGAAGTAAATTAATGTGTTGAAAAATAGATTCTATTGATTCAAAAATTAAAAAAAAAAAAAAATGTGTGGAACGGTAAAATTACAACACGTGTTATGAAAGATATTTTGAAGTTTACTTCCGATCTGGAAATGTACACATTACAGCAGTATCTTTAAAACGAATCAAGTGCTTTTAAATTAATTATCAACACAACGAGCTTCACCTCTAGACTGCGACAGGCTCTTTTTTTCTCTCTCTCGCGGTATCCAAAAAAAAAATACGTTTACTCTGATTTTTTTAATAGCTAAAATGTATATCTTATTACTGTTATTCTACACGATCTTTAACTGAAAATCTGCATGTAACGTTAGTACTGTTGCCATGTGGTAGTTCCTTACATACGATTTGTATCATATAGGAATTATACTTTATATTAACAAGCAAAATCAGAGAAATCTTGATTCAACACGTAAGTAGGACAGTGTACAAAAGTGATGATTGCGTCAATCAAAAATTACACCCAATTATGTACAGCTCTTTGATATTCTATAGAGATACTTTCAAATATAGAAAAAAACTGACAAATATTCAGATCGTTTTCTGTTAAATTAATCGGCTAATATTGAAAGTCAACTAGAACGGAGATCGTATTACGTGAGTATTCGATACAAAGTAAAAAAAGAGCAAACATTTTTTGTACATTAAAACCTGATCGCTAGGCGTAAAGGTGAAAATGTTTCTTATAGTGCACTCGGAACGATAGAAAATACTAATGTTTTTAAAATTTTCTTTGCGCTTATACAACAGTATGAGGTTGTCACTCTAACGGGCATTCGCCTGACATTGTATATATTTTTCTCTGTTTTAAGTAGTGTGTGTCATGTGTTTGTAAATTTTTTTTTTTTTTTTTTTTTAATAACATGGTACAAAATTTTGTATGATTGCAGTGTTTTTTGATAATGTAATTGTTACATGTTCGTAAAACAGTTAATTGGCCAACAAGTCAAATAAACTTTTTACTTCTAAGATATTTATTAAAAACTTGTAGCTTTTATTTGAATATAATACAACATTATAACACTTATAGCAATTTAAAAGCGATTTTGCGGTAACTTGTTTTTGTTCTGACATTACGTAGGAAAAAGTCCACAAAACTAAACATAAGAATTCAAATCTCGGAGGAGTTCAAATTTTTTTTTTTTTTTTTTTTTTTTTTTTTTTTTTTTTATATCAACGAGATGGTATTATTTTTATTTTCATACATTTTTTTAAAGCCATGATACTTTTTTCGTAAACTCAGTAGCATTTCAACATAGTCGATTTTATTATATAAAAACGTACGCACAACTTCATAAAGTTTTTTCTATTCACAAAATTTAACAATATAACCTTAATAATATAAATATAAGACCAGAAACACGTTGGCAAACTTATGGAAAACTATTCATTAATCTGTATTAGAGCAAAATCCAAAGAGATTCATTTGCTTATGACTTCTAAATTTTTACGTTTTCACTACGAAATTTCACATTGAATTACAGACAATAAAAAATGCATAAAAGCTAATTCAAAAAAAAAAAAAAAAAAAANGGAAAAAACGTGGGTTTTACTATCACTTTTTCGTTCAACCCACTTTAAATACTTAAATAAAACCTTTTTAAAAGATGTATTGACTTCGTTATTTAAAAAAAAAATGTTTCTTAAATTGAATGACATAAGCGTTAAACTAGTTTTTTTTTTTTTTTTTTTTTTTTTTTTTTTTTCCTGAAAATGCCTTTAGCTGAAAAGATGTTGATTTTCTCGCATCGTTTCATCTATTACATGTATACGATGAAGGATTTCGTTTTGTGCTATGATTTACTTTTTTTCCTCTCTTTTATACGCGTCGAAAGGGCACATTCACTTGATCACAATGTATATACTTGCCGTGAACGTCAGCATCTCGACACGCACGTTTGTAGTCCAGTTTGAGGATTCAATTTATTTTTTACTTTTTTCCTTACGTCCGAACGCGTTGAGCTGCTGTCGATGTCACGGAAGGTTTTGAAAATTATTGCCAATTTTGTACACTTTATATGTTTATATGTATGGATTTTATATATTTATCTTTTCTTTTTTTTTTCTTTTTCACAATAAGATCAATTATTTCGTTTGAACTGAGGAAAAGCGTTTCATGTGGTGATTTTTGACGAGAAAATGTACGTTAATCGCCCGATGAAAATGCGAGACATTAATATAATATTCATAGGCAGAAAACACCGTTGATTTATTAAGATAAGTCATCATTTAATACAGAATTCCTTATGAACTCTTGTTTCACTATGAAATTCCTACAATAAAAAGTATTTGTAAGTTTTTTTTCCTCTCATTTAAATATTTTTTCATCTCTCACTTTTTTCTCTACAACATCGTAGATTATTTACTGCGCATCGATTACTTTTTTTCATTTATTTATTTATTTTTTTCAATATGATTCTCCTCACATTTTTTTTATTGATTTTTATTTATTTTTTAATAATATTAGCTCATTATGTATAATCTCACTTTTTTGCATGAAATTCGCTCACGTGAACTTTTTCTTTCATCTTTTTTCAATTTAAAGTTATTGATTACTTAGTCGTACTTTAAATTATTTTTGTTACGTACATCATGGTTTGCTGTTTCCATTAATCATTCGTTTCTAAATATTTTTCAAAATTATGATTTAGCTGAAAGTGGAATTGACACTTATAAGGTTATTAAAGTAGCCTTTTTTTTATTCATAATTGCACCGATGTGACACCGACCAAATGTACATTTTTGATGTCTAAATGTAAGCAATAAGTTGCATGAATTTTTTTTTCTCGTTTATTAGGGATACATTTTTTTCATTTTTTACTTTTTTTTTGAGCAAGCGACACGCTTGATTGTTAGTGTTATTTCTTTTTTTTTATGCTTTTCCCATTTTTAAATATTGTTTCCAAATACACTAGAGCAAAAGCCGTTCACTATCAAGATTTATTAAGTAAAGATATGAACACTATTACTTTGACAATAAATGTACAATTTACAAAAATACTCGATGATTTCCCTCAAATTTTTTTTTTTTTTTTTTTTGAAAATCAAATTAAAAACACCTATAGTCACTTACTGGTCACGTTGAATCGCTATTATTTCCAATGAACGTCAAACTAACTATATTCGCGTGATCTAGTACGTATTCCCCATTATTAACAAATTTTTTCCCTTGTCCAATAATAAACGCATGATTGATTTCCGTTTCTATGCACAACTACAGCTGAATCCAGTACTTGTATTAATAACAATATGTATATTATTATAATTACGTACTCGGTCGTGCGTGTACTGTGTGAGGCAAATTGAAAAAAAATTTGTTTTTTTCGTTTAAATATACACAGTGCGAGAGTTTTAATGCCGAGGTTGAACGCTACGCTCACTAGTCTCTTACACATCAAAAGAAAGTGAGTAAATTTTTTTTTTTTTTCAACTTTTCATTTAGTTATACCCCATTACAATATATTATAACGTGTCATCTTATCTCCAATTTCCTTATGCATAATAATTGCGTGTAACTTTAATAATTATCATCCGTATAATATTCGTTAATGAGTTGCGCGAGCAGAACGAAGAGTGTGTAAGGTAATATATTTATGTACACTTTCTATGACTACGTCATTACCTCATTTGTTCACGTTATCTTTTGCGCAATGCAATCCATTCTTACTTAATAACACTTAATAATGACAATTACTCCAAAAAGATAGTTTTAAAAAGAGCGAAAAAATTCAGGAAGACGAGAAAAACGTCGAAATTTATTTATTTTTTATTTATTTATTTATTTTTTTTTTTGTCGTGAGATAGAGAGAGAGAAAGATAACAAAGTGCGTTTTTTGTTTACTTCATGCATTCATTTTTTTCATTTACGAAATTTAAGAATAAAAAACCATGAAATGAAAATACAAGAACTACATCGTGAGTCGCAATGCAATGGACCGGTACGAGAAGTTATTCCAACCACATTATTTGTTTTTAGGCCAAACTTACTAAATTAGTCATTAGTATTCCAACACGCTATTTGTATTATTAATAGTAACGCTGGAATAGCGAATATTGGAAATTATATATTTATTTGTTTTGTGAACCCACTAAACGTTGCAGATAAACAGCTAGAGTTGTAGTTAGAAGAATTCTTTCTCTCTCTCTCTCTCTCATTTGCGCCACGTCTTACTCGTAATGCATAAATCATCATGTCATTTCGGGTCGTGTACTTCTGTTTATACGTGTACATTACTAATTAATTATCATGTGATACTTTGTACGCTTATGTGTTGTCGAGAGCTCGTGGATGTATTTGCGCCAGTGTTCGATATTGGAGTGCACCAGCCATTCGATAATAATGCAGTGTTGATTATTTTTTTTCTTTTTTCTTTTTGTTTATTCATACGTATAGTTGATAATAATTATAATAAATTCAAAGGTTACATCGCACGTCTAAATTTCAATGTCTCGGTAAATACATTATCACCTTAAACAAGAGATTCGAGTATCACCAAAGTATATGTAATTATCCATATTGTTTTTTTATTTGATAATTTTTCATAATGTGATTTATTTGCACATGATACTTATTTTTATAATGTACAGAATTTGTTGTTTATCCGATAAATAATTATAGGGATTCGTGAAATACAAGTAAATTACATTATTTTTATTTTTATTACTATTATTACCATTATTATTATTACTATTATTATTATTATTACTGTTAATACTATTATTATTCTTTACCAATACTCGAAACGCTTAATTAACATTTATCATGATTTGCATTTTATTTTAGCAATTTAGGCGCGCTCGAAACTTGTCGATCACAGTTCTCCTTGAATACATATTATATATACTTCTTTTTCTTCATTAATTCAAGTATTTCCTTTTTTTTTTTTTTCTCATCCTAGTCCTTCCTTTCTTACTCTTATGAAACGTCAAATTGAAAATCTACGTGCGACGATGGGAAAAAGTTTTAAGTCGGAAATTAGCAGATTTCGTTAAAAAATCCACACGTCACTATACAATATAACCATGAAACTTTGAAGGACTGGACACTAGTAGTAATAGTAGTAGTAGTAGTAGCAGCAATTAATTAAGTTTATATATGATATATTTATACGTTCTTACTCATGTAGTAAAAAGATCTCGATCGACCTTTCCGAGTTGCAGTAAGTAGTAATAATTTGATCATATTTCATTCGCTACGTAAATCAGCAGTGCATCTCTCGTCATTTTCATTTCCTCTTTGCCTTTTTAATGCAGACTATGTGGACCACGAGACAAACTTTCCCAACGAGTAAGTATAGCAGTTGATTAACTATTTGCTTAAAAAAAAAAAAAAAAAAAAAAAAAAACAATTTTTTTCTATTTTCTTTCAACCACATTGACATGCCCAGACTCGAAGATTGTAATTTCTATTATTCGGTCATACGCTAGACCGATGTCGATTCATGTAATTTTTATACCTTCCCGATGTAGCAACTATGCTATAGCACGTACATTTTTTATACGAGGCGTGAGACGAACGCAACGCGTCGAAGACACTGAGGCTCCATTCGTGATTACGTGTTCACATCCAGTCTTTTGTAATCGACACTTGTACTACTCAAAAAATATGTTTATTTTACTTGAAAGAATATCGCGACAACGTAAATAATTTATCGTGAAAATGGCAGCAGTAGGTAATGGCACACTCTTTGAAATGGCATGTATATGTTGAAGAGTCCATTGTAAAAAATAAGTTTCTGAACACAGATTTCAGCGCGGCCGCGCTAATACGATGAGCTCGCGAAAACAAGTGGAACACGTGAGGTTGCGGCAATTTTTTGCTCGAGGAAAAACCGATAGGCCAGTGCCTTCGACGTTGCACGTACTGGATGAACGTCTCACTCCACACATTGTTCTTCCCGACGCAAACAACTGAGCTTACCAACTCCATCATGACTCTCGTGTCGCTCTTATTTACATCACATAATAAAATAATTGTAGTAATGGTAGCCAACTAAGCTAACAATTACGCTTTCTGTGCAATTACAATAGGGTCGTGGGCTTTCGAGTTTTCATAATAATAACAACGAAATAATAATACTATTTCAACTCTTTCTTATTTTTTTCTTTCCTATTCTTTCCCCCAGCATATTTTATTATACATCCCCGAAAACACAAGTTTTCTCACGTGTGAACGAATAACGTTGCATCATCTGCGTTGTTACTTAATGATTTTTTTTTCCCCCTTACCTTTATCCTTCGTCTCTTTTATATATGATTAATAACGCACGAATTGCCTCGCAAAACACCCGTCTGCGCGTAAACCTCTTTGGTAAATACTTACTTTTTGCAACGTTAATATATTTTTTATAATAATATCTCAAACGAAAACATGTTTTTTTTTTGTTTTTTTTTTGTTTTTTTTTTCTTTTCATTTCTTTAATCTTTTAATAACATTGTAATTTTACTCGCAACGCTCTCGCGATATTCCCTACATATACGATATATGTATAATATATATATATATAATATGATGCAATAACTCACTCGGCTTTACTCGCCAACGCAATCCAAATCTCCACCTTTACTGCTTACGCCAAACAACCTAATCATCCCCTTTTACATTATCTTACTCTCTCGCGCGCACACAAAAAATTTATGCCATTATTCAGCGTAATATTATGTTTAATTTATAATAATGTATGATATTTATATGATATAAAGAGCGGTACACACACACGTTCGCCGCGAAGCTTACAATCTCATCTCGCACTCGCACTCATCCCTCGATTCGCGCTCGTCACCACTTAATTAAAGTAATAAGTATTTATTGCTGCAGCAGAATACGCCATAATCCCTCTACTCTTTTTTTTGTATTCATCGACTTTCCTCTCTTGTACATACGTACTACATAATATTATTATTATTATTATTATATATATTTATTTATTTTTTCATTTCAATTTCTCTCGCTCGTCTCAGCTCGCCTTTTGTACCCTAAGCCTAATGATGATGATGCTATCTACAATAAATTAATAAATACTCCATAAAAAATATTCCCTCGATAAACGAAACTTTACGGCTAAAAGTATATACCTATTTAAATGTGTGGGTGTGTGGGTCTCGGTGTTCGCGTCGCTGTTGTTTTTCAGCCAGCAAATAATGGCCTGCCGGAATGTGTACAACAACTGGACTACTCTCAGGTATAAGTACGATTCATTATCACCACGCGTGCATGGCGTCCTTCTTTCGTCTCTGGCTTCTCGTTTCGCCACATTTTTTTTTTTGGTTTTTCAATGATATTTTTCATTCCGAGAAAAAGAGAGAGAGGCACAAAGGAACGCGGGGGTTCCTCCGTGACGTAGGTGGCCGTGTTTGTTCCGAGTACACAGGTATATATATATACATATATAAGTGTGTACGTGCCAAAGGGGGGCTGATGGGATGGGTGTGCACGTTATTAATAGAGAAACGGGGGTACGCGGGGGGAGGAAGGGCGAAGGCGCGCGCATGAATACAATAAATATACGTACATGTATATATATATACGCAAGTGTGTGTGTGTATAGCGCAGAAGTTCGATTCCCGAGGAGGTGAGTGTAAGCATCGTATGGTGCGTGCGTATACAATAAAGGGCGAGCGAACGAGTTGACAAATTGCAGCGGCAACCTCCACCGTATTATTACCGTTTGCCCGTTTGTTTCTTTGTTTTATCTCCCTTCCTCTCTCTCCCTCTACTCGACGTGTAATCGACACAAGTCTGTCGCATGATACACCCATGGGCGCACGAGTGAGCTGTTGTCGTTAACATATTACGTAGGATTTTATGGCTGTTTGTATATGCACGCTACGGTTTCTAAGATTGATTTTATTTTTTCAAATCGCGATTGACCGCCAATGGCTCACTTGCACGACTCCGGTTATCCCGATATACAGCACAGTCCTCTCGCAACAACAAACGAGGTATCATCATTTTGGCTTTGGTCTCTTGCTAAGTATACTTCATTTTTTTTGTTTTTTTTTTGTTTTGTTTTGTTTTTGCTCTGTTCGTCGTCGCGGTGTATACACACTTTGCACGCGCAGCTGCTTGTCGTGGGCGTTGGCGCGGCGCCGTCGAACGGGATTCTTGACACGTTCGCCAAAAACCGCACACGCGCTACGACTGCGCTTCCGGGTTCTCCTGAAAAAAAAAAAAAAAAAAAGGTTGAGGTACAGTTGACGCACTAGTCGAGTACGTAGGTGTAAAATATATATATAGATGGGAATGGAAAAATTTACCTGATACGGGGAATTCACAGGCCCAAGTATGACATGACAGTGGTGCCGGCAATTAAGGCGAGGACAGTCAAACAGATCAAAATCATGATCTTCTTCTGCTCTCCGTGAAGTAAAAAAGCAAGAAAATTTTCAGAGAAAAAAGAAATCATCGATTAGTCACGAGTTTATTATTATTATTTTTATCTTTTTTATTTTATATGAAAATATCGAGTACTGTATATATACGTTAACAAATAACATCAAACATCGTGAAACACATACATATATCCACGTGTATGGTATACTACACACGTTTTCATTTTACTTTTTCCTTGCTCTGCCTAAATTGTGTACCCAAACTTTATCCGTCCAGAGTTTTTACAACATTTTGCTTCCTCGTGGAGGGAGCTTTTTTTCTATATCAAGTCACATTTTCTATTTTTTTTTCTCTACATTTCAGCTATCCTTGTATCGTCATATCACTAGTACATAGAGTATTTTCTGTCCAATACTGCTACGGAACAACGTGTTGTTTTTAAATACACAAACATTTACAATAACGTGGGACTAGAGCGAAAGTTATTTTTTGTATTAATAATTTACTTAAATACGTATACCGGTGGTAAATCATAAAACAGTACAACAAATCGTGTGCTACATCTATTCTACGATACGGTGAATTGGTATGTCAACCAACGTTTGCTCTTATATATAT